CCCCCCCCCCCCCCGCCCGATTGAGTCATTTTGATAATATGGTCAGCTGCTTTTATACCTAGCCAAGCTTAGCTTCACCATATTGGTACTGCTTAATGTTCCAGAGGGGATGGACGAGCCAAAGACTGGGTAAGTGAAAGGAGTCCAAGCTGATAAGCACAACCATATGTACATACCTAGAACCTGTAATTAATTTACAAGAGCGAGAAATGAAAAAAACAACCTCTCGCCATCTTACCAACACAAACCGGTCGAACACCGCTTCGTGAAGCACCTCCCTTTCCTCTCAAATGGTCATCACCAGCCTCCTCCTCGAATCATACGCAAGCTTCGCCATGAACATGACGCGCCTGCCAGTGCCATCACTCGCATGAAACACCATCCTCGACCCGTCCGGCGAGACGTCGGCACCCCCAGGAGCATACAAGCCGCTGGTCCCGGTGACGGCCAAGCGCGCGATCTTGACGTACGGACCGGTGATGCGGTCGGCCCAGGCATACGCAATGTCGTAGCTGCTGCTGTCATAACAGTTGGAGCTGTAGAAAAGGACAAACTTGCCGTCGGGCGTGCGGGTGAGGCTGGGCGCCTCGATGAGCGGGCCGTCCTCGGGGCCGCGGTCGAGGATGCGGAACGGGTTGCCGAGCAGGGTGTAGCCATCGCGCGGGTCGAGCTGCTGCAGGACGATGGGCGTGGGCACGATGGGCGGGATGGCGTTGTTGCAGCTGCCGCCGTGGCCGATGTTGTTGCCGTCGATCTTGTACACGACGTAGAGCCGGCCGTCGCTCGACCAGAAGTGGGCCGGGTCGATGGCGCCGCCCTGCGAGACGGGGCAAGCAAGGGGGGTCGGCAGAGGGATGAATGGGCCGGTGGGATTGTCTGCGATGCCGACGCCGATGCAGTGCTGGTCGATGCCCGCCGCCTTCGCCGAGTAGTACATGACGTACTCGCCGTTGGTCGCGCGCGTCACGTCCGGTGCCCACACGCCAGGGTAGCTCTGGTCCGCCCACGGGCCCGGGTTGGGCAGCGTCTCGAGCCCGCTCATGAGCGTCCAGACGTTGCCGTCACTGGAGATGGCGAGCTGGGCGTTGATACCGTTGCCGACTGTCGCATAAGCGTACCACATGTCGCCGAATTTGGTGATGGACGGGTCAGCGAAGTCGTCGTCGAGGATCTCTTTGAACTTGAACCGGGTTGAGGCGACTTTCCTGAACGATGGCTTCGTTGCTGCTGCATTGGCGAGAGTCGAGCCTGCCACAAGTGCAGCCAGTACGACGGCGGCAAACAACCGGGCGCAAAACATGTTAGTTTTTATATAAACAAAACAACAAGTGAGTGACAGGTCTATATAGAGACCGGAGGTATGAACGAGTGACTTGGGTAAGATGTTTTCTTTTCGTCAGCGAGCGGAAACGAGAAAAATTGAGACGAGTGGTGCTAGTTGGCATGGCGGCTTCTGCTTGGTTGAGTGAAGGAATGTGCTGAGAAGACGCGTATAGAGCACCGAATTCTTTGACCGTTTGCCGGCTGGCCATACCACAGCGCTGTTCGTCGTTGCTTGCGGTTGCCAAATGATTCATGCGATAGAGCCGCAGGTCCAGATCTGGCTTCGCTTGTGATTCTTTCGCATGCTGCAGGTACAGGTGCGGTTAAGGAACGAAAGAACCTGCATCTTCAGCATGCCTCAAATCGACTATGACGCACGGGAACTTACTACCTCTCCTGTCTGGGAAAACCCTCAAGTGCTTGCCATCGTCACTTTTTCTAACCATGCTATGCTTATCCGATGGGGGTTGGTTTGAAATTGCGGTATCATGAAAAAGTAAAGCCGTGGTTGGATTTACATTTCTTCGTTACGCCCGCTTCATCAGAGAAGATGCATGGATCTGCCCAGGCTTTCGCGTGTTTCGCTTGCTCAAGACATTGAAGTCATTGAGCAAAAGACTCGTGGCTTGGTAGTTCCACGTGAATGGGGATCGAACGCATATCTCACTCAGTTTTTTAGTTTTTCTGTAGAGTACGCACTAATCCATATCAAGCGTGAGCGAGGTGTCAAATTGGATTGACTGTAGTCCGTGATGGGGTGTTTGCGACTAGAAGTGGTTCCTCCCTTTTTCTGGGATTACCGACTGGTAAGGCGTATGCAATAGCTGCCAAGGGAAGTGAATAATCAGACTGCACTCTCTCAGGTCAGGACAGGCCAAGAAGCCGGCAGACGGTTGGCATTGAGAAAGAAAAGAAAATACGAGCAGCCTGTGAAGCCCAGCCCGAGCGGGCGGACAAGAAACAGGATGATGTGTGGTCAACAAAAGGTGCAAAGTAACCAAGGCCGCCAAGGCATCCCATCATGGACGGGAACCATGGTTGAGGCGATTGTAAGGGAGGCGCCGTTCGTACGGCTGTGGCTCACCCAGCCCTGGGGAACAAAGTGAGACAGATCAGGCAAGTAGCCGTTGGCTTAGTCTCCGAACCGACAGCCTTGCCCAAATGGGGAAGGAGACGTCTTCAAGACGTGATTGTACGGGGGCTGTTATACGATCAGGCAAGAGCTGAGCATTGGTGCACACCAAGCCGTAGCACAGCGCAGTTGCATCAGGCGATTCGATGGCCGGACTCAATGCGAAACTTCGTTCAGGCCCAAACCGTGCCATTTCGAACCACAGAGCCCGGCGGCAAGGCGCCATTGTCGTCGGAATGTAGAATTGATGAGTAGAGTGAAGATTGGATGCGGGGATCGTGCAACGTTGTATATCGATGGATCTGCTGCACGACGCACCCGAAGCAGGGCGTATGCAGTGCGGACTGAAGCGGTCTCGTTCCACAGGGCGCAGGACGACGACGCCCTGTGCCGAAGACGGTGGAGGTCGGCGGGGAGAGCACCTTGGCGCCATGTCCTCCTGGACGCAGTTGGCAAGACCGGTCTGCAAATGCACAGCAGATGACGGGTTCACCGCTCCGACAGCCGGGACCAGGCCGCAGAAGATCGATGCCCATCGCATGGAATGTGGTGTGGAGAAGGAGTAGGGGTGCTGGATGATAACAGCATAGGCTAAAGGGCGCATGGTGCAGGGACGCATCCCCGCATAGCGGCCAAGCAGCAGCGGCGGGCCATCAGTCATTTGACCAGCTCGCAGAAGCTTAGCCACGAGTGCGGGGTGTGAGTGGTCGATTATGTTGGAGGATTTGCCGTAATGCGCCGTGTTGCCGGGGCGGCGGCGCTCGTGCGTGCCGCTGCAGGAGGGGCTCGGATTGACGGCACAGACGAAGATGCGAACGGGTGCGAGGGCAGGGCAGGGCAGGACCGCGGCGGCTGGCAGAATGCGATGGGGAGAGTTGGCCGGCGACATGGCAATTGCCTGGTTTGCAGTCATGACGCCAGTAATGCGGTGGCTGGTGGTCTGAGCGGCGAGTCAAGCAGGCGGGGCTGGTGGATATGACGGACGGCAGTGGCGGAGCGCCACGGAGCTTGTCGTTGGCCGCCATGGCTGCTCGCCTGCAGGGATGGCAGGGCTGATGGGGCCGGCGTGGGAGGCCCAGCGGTGGAGAGGAGGCTGGGAGCTGGCCGGCGCACTGAGGGCCAGGAGGCACGTCTGCTGCTGACGACGCCCCGCGATGTGAGCAAAGCCGCGGCGGCGCCAGGCCGGCGGCTGGTGATGGGGCAACGGTGCGTGGCTGCTTCGACAGGCTGATGAGCGCGCGCCGGCTTAGCGCCACACGGCCTGCATGAGGCGTGGAGGCGTTCGGCGGGCAGGCGCGGCTGCGGCGATCGCGGACAGGCGACATGCAGCTCGATTCGCGGCTTAGTTGGGAGCAGCGAGCAGCTCGGCCTTGGAGCAGTGCGGGCGGCGCGGGCGGTGCGGGCAGACGCCTTCACGCCTTGGGCCAGGAGCGCGAACGGCGACGGTGCCTGGACGATGATGTCGCATGACGATAGAGGTTAAGATAACCGTTTCACAGGGCGCGCCGCTGCCTGTGTCGAGCGCCGGCTTCGGGCGCCCGTGCTGCCGGCCGCCGCGCCAACGACACCTCCACTCCATCGACGCCGCGTCGCATCGCCGTGATGCTCTCGGACCAGTGGCGTCATAGCCCCCATGCCCCGTCACCAACCCGCCGTCGCCTGCTCGCCGTCATGTCTCGAGCCCGCCGCACTGCCGCCGTGTGCGTGGCTGCCGACGCTGCTTCCGGTGCCGTCGCCCCAGCCCTGCTCAACCTCATTCGCCCGCCCGGCCAGCATTTGCGACAGCTCTTGCGACAGCTCTTGCGACAGCTTGGCGCCCTCGAGCGCAGCGTGGGCAGAAACAGAGGGCTGGGCGAACGGATTGAGTGCTGACGACGTCTCCCCTCGGCGTCTGTTCCTGAACGGCGCCAGCAGCAGTGGTCCGCAGCGGAACCACCGACCGGTCGTCCGTCGGCTCGCCGTCAGCTGTCAACGAGCGGCCAACCATGGTAGCCGTCGCCTGCTGCCCAGGGATTTTTTTTGGAGCCGCACACCAGCGTGATAATATGCTCGACAGCGCCACAAAGCGCACGACCCTGCCGCGCCCACGCCGCCGCCTACCCCAACAGGGCAACGGCCGCGATGGTCCGCTAGACCAAGACGCTGCTATTCTTGCTGATGGCATATCTCGCGCAAGCCACGCATTCTGCGTGCCCGGGCGGCTGCACCCGTCAGTCGCAGACTGAGACATGCGAAAGCGGCGTGGAGAGAGAGGCACAGAGGATGCTGGCCCCGGTCGCGCCTGGTCACGCCTGGTCATGCTATTCGCGTGCGATGCGAGGGGGCTGGTGCTCAGAAACAATGTCTCTTTGTCCGCTGGGCCCCCGGCCCTCGCCCGGCTTGCACACGGCTAGGCCTGGGCGATCGCATGCCCTACCCCACAGCCTTTGCTGCTTGCGGTTTGACGCCTGCGAAAAGTGGAGGGCGTCTTCACGCGCATCCGGTCAACCCAGTTGCCAGCTCTGCCAGCCAGTGTCATGGCCGCGCACCAGCCAGCCAGCCAGCCATCTGCCTCCATGCCGCCTCACAGCGTACAAATACCTCTGCCCCCTCCCATGCATTCCAGCGCCTCCCCAATTCAACTCTCCGCCATTTGCAACCGTCGCTCCAGTTGTTCAAAACCCTTCGCTCTGCTGGACCCGAAAGTCGAATCCATCGTTAATCCGCCTAATTCCTAATCCCTTCACAATGAAGTTCGCCTTCGCTCTCGCTGCCGTTGCCGGCACCGCCATGGCTCTGCCCAAGGCCCAGGGTGTCACCGCCGACCTGGCACCCACTGCCTCCGCTCCTGCAGGCTGCCAGCCGACCTGTAAGTCTCCAGACCCCTTTCAATGTATTCTGCGGATTGCCCTGACTGTCCTAGACGCCGGCACGTTCCAAATTACCATCGTCAACGCGACCACCAGCTCCAGTGTCGCCAAGCGCGGTCTGCTGCCTCGCCAGGAGGAATCTGGAGGACCTGCAGACAACGCCCTGGAGCTGACCCTGGCCGACGGCAAGTTGACGGACCAGCAAGGCCGTACTGGCTACATCGCCAGCAACTACCAGCTGCAGTTCGACAAGCCCCCGCAGGCCGGCACCATCTACGACGATGGCTTCAGTGCTTGCTCCAACGGCTCGCTCGCTCTTGGTGGCTCCGCCATCTTTTACGGCTGCACTAGCGGCGAGGGCGCCACCCAGTTCTACAACTTCTACGACCGCAACTGGGGCTCCCACTGCTCGCCCATCTACATTGAGATCATCAAGGGCTCATCCACCAGCGCTGCTGCTACCCAGGCCTCTGACGGCCAGGTCGCCGCTACCACTGCCGTCCCCGTCCGCAGCGACGGCCAGCCCATTGCTACCTCCATTGCCGCATCTGGTGTTCCCGTTCGCAGCGACGGCCAGCCCATTGCCACCTCCATTGCCGCATCTGGTGTTCCCGTTCGCAGCGACGGCCAGCCCATTGCCACCTCCATTGCCACCGCCGAGTCTTCGGCGGCTGGTGTTCCCGTTCGTAGCGATGGTCAGCCCATCGCCTCCTCCATCGCTTCTGCGGCTTCTTCCGCGTCCGCTGTCCCCGTTCGCAGTGACGGCCAGCCCATTGCCTCCACCATTGGCACCCCCAGCTCTGCTGCGGGCACTCCCGTCCCTGTCCGCTCCGACGGCCAGCCCATCGCGACCTCCATCGGCACCCCGGTCGCTACCCCGGTCTCTACCCCGGTTTCTACCCCGACCGCCGTTTCGATCCGCTCGGACGGCCAGCCCATCGCGACCGGTGCCTCTACTCCCAGCTCTGCTGCCGGCACTCCCGTCTCCACCCCCACCCCCACTCCCTCGCAGTACACCGGTGACGCCGACCGCTTCTCGGTCCGCAGCGGCTTCGCCCTCGTGGGTGCTGCGGCCGTCGCTGTCGCCATGTTCTAAGCGCATCGAGGTCATTGTGCGATAGAGAGTTGGGATTTTCGCTTCTTCTAGCGACCCTGTTGGAACAACGGCCGTTTTCCCCTTAACCGTCGAAAGCACCTTCCAAAGGACCGCGCTGTCCATATTTTTTTTATTTGCATTTTATGATTTGGGCCTCACAATTTGAACAAAAGGTTACCATACTTGGTGGGACTATTTTATTTTCTGAGTATGACGATTATCACGATCATTTTATATGGAAACAAACGGGATCATTGATGGATGAAGCAAGCATAGCATTGCCATGCTTTGGTTATTAGTAACTGCTCGTATCTAGTAGTTGCAAAGATAGCAGTGGAGAGTAGTAGTTCTATGGCCTCTGTCAGCCGGAGGCGTAATCCTAATACCAGAGGAATTTTTATTTTCCAAACAACGTGCGTTTTGTGATTGTAGTCGCTAAACGTTTGGGCTTTGCACGACAGACTTGTATAGCGCGGCGTCCCCCTTGGCTTGGCTTGAGGCTACGAGGAAACGCCAACCTCGGTCCGTTATCTATGAGCTGGTGAGACCGTCTCGGCTACACCCGAAGAGACGCAGCAGATGGCTGCGCGACACTGTGGAGTTCAATAGCTGGGCGCAAGAAAAACTCCCTTGGTGGAGAGTCAAAGTCTCAGACGATACAGCTCCCTTTTCACTCTTCCGTTCACAGCCGCAGCACAATGAACGTCCTTTCTCTTTGTTTTGCCTTATTTCTTTCAACACCACGTTCATCTTGATGTTAAGAAGATGACTACCTGTCGTTGCGCGGAATTCATTCGACATTCGCTCTGTAAGGCTGAATGCCGCATTCCACAGCAACAAAAGCATGCATGAACATGCACGTCAGGGTCATTTCCACTAGTATTAATTTTTGCACAAAACCGAGATTAGAGCACTTGGATCGAAATGCGCTTATCGCTATTATTAGCCGCCAGCCACCATTTCTCAGAAACGTTCTCGCTACGCAAAGAATTGAGCGCGACCTCTGTCAATTTATTTCTTCTTTCTCCTACATGAACCTCGTCTGATAGTAAAAGACCGCTCCTCCCAACTGGGAGCAGTGATTTAGTCCGCTTTTCATCCATCCCCTCACGCTCCCTCTCCCCCCTGAACCGAACGAGTTCCGCGTAATTAAGCTTATTCTGTTGAACTTAACCTTAATTCCTTCAATTTCCATGTGTACGTGGGTTGCCGCGCGAAACACGAGGAATGCAGATCGACCCTCCGTGAATCTAAACAATCGAAAGCCAAAATGCACCCCATGCCGTCCTCAACCGTAACCATGGATCATATTGAACCTTTTTTTTTTTTCTTTTTTGGGCCTTTGCATTTCTCCACATTCCGGGTTGATGACCCCGGGGTGGGGATTTGATAGCGCCGGAAGTCATGATGTGGAGATGACGATAGATCGTGAGACGGCCGGCATGGGCGTAAGAGTGGCCTAGGCAAGTGGCAACGCGCTGCGCACACGGCCGTTCGCGCTCATGGTAGAGCGTCGTCCTACGGAGTGGCAAATGCCGAAAACGGCAAATGAGAATTATTACCCGGTTAGCGTCCAATCTGTTTTCGATTGTGCAAGTGGGATGTCTCAATTCAAGCACTCTACTGGGTGTCACGTCACTGAAGTGCGTGCGTGCTAGACCATTGATGTTTCACGCAGTATTAAATTTAAAGCATTCTCAGGGTCCAATGTTTCACGGTAGCAATCAAACACGAGGAGTTTAGTATCTCTCATTAATCATACCCATCAAGTCATGTGAAAGCCCAAATCCAACCACCGTCCTTTGCTACGCCTTCGAATATGGGCCATTAAACCTTACCCTTTCCGACTCGGTATCAGTTAGGAAACCTCCGTCATTAGCCACTCTTCCGTCTAATTTTAGTTTTGCCCAAGTTGGCTTCCAACATCAACCAAAGGCTTCCTTTCAAAACTCCAAAAAGTTGCTCAGAAAAAGAGGGAGAAGAAGAAGAAGAAAGCGCGAAGAGAGGGGCGAAGTCGATTAGAAAGGACCAATTACGGGACCAGATGTGACGGCGACGGGGATGGGCGACTTTTGCTTGCTCATGACACCATCCAGGTTGCAATGGATGCCAGTGGTGGGAGCGCCGGCCAAGCAAGTGAGCCAGGAGTTGTCAGAGGCGAGGTTGTTGGCCTCGACCGAGACGGAGCCGGTTTCGGCGGAGCTGCAGGACGACGTCGTCAGCAAGCAAGGCTACATCAACAGAGGGGTATCGAAAGACTTACTCCTCACCGGTGATGCGGCCGACCTCGATGGTGAACTTGGCCTCAGTGGCGAAGTCGGTGAATTTCCAGCCGACGTCCTTGTTCTCGCACGCGTTCCAGTCGATGGGATGGGTGCCGTTTTGCCAATTGGCGGTGCACGTGGTGGACTCGGAGCTGGCGTTGGCGCCCGATTGGGCGGGGTACTCGACGGTGAGCTCGATGGTGCTGTTGAACTCGGTGCCGGCGGGCCAGGAGCCGTCGGCGATGCCACTGTTCTTGCCCATGAAGTGCGTCTTCAGCGTCGAGATTTCGTACTGCGTGGCCGAGACGGAGCGGTGCATGAGGGTCGGAGCCGCAGAGACAAGGGCGCCGAGGCCGAGGAGGGAGAGAGGGAGGAGTTGCATGTTGGTGGGTTGTTCGGTTCGTGGTGGAAGTTCCGGAGGTTGTATAGGTAGGAAGGCTGGAGGAGAGTTGAGCTGGGAGGAATGGTGTCGGGCCAAGGAAGAGCAAAGTATTTATGGGCCAGCAGCAGAAGCAGGAGTGGTGCCGGTACAGGTGGGGTGCTGATGCGGTGTGGCAGCAATTTGGGAAGCGGCGACGATGTTCAGTGGATGGAAGCAGCCTGGGGTCCACCCACCGGGGAAGCAATGGCCAGCCGCAGCGACCGCAAGGGCTACCCACGTCACCAAAAAGGCCCCATCACCATGGCTGATGGCGCATTCGGATCCTGCACCGGCCCAAAAATTAAGAATGGAGGGTGCCGTGTGCCGTGTGCGCCACTGCCGCGAGCTCCCGGCGAACACGATCAGACCGATACAACGGCGCGGGCGCCCAAAGCAGTGACGGCGGTGGCACACAGCTGCAGCGCGCCGCCACCGATGCAGCTCCTTCCCGAGAGCCGGTGGGGCTCGTGCGTTGGGGACGGGTGCTGTATCGTGCAGGCCAGCCATGCAGCTTGCCACGGTGGAGACACCAACACGAGGGAGGCGGCGTACAAGGCTCGACTGCGGTCGACGTGAGCATGGGAGCAGCAGGTGAAGCTGGGACGCACAGGTACCTACTTGGTGAACGGATCGGCGCTGATGCACAGGCCTGTATCACGCCAAACAAGCTTCCCAGGTAACAAGGCTGGGCCGCAGCATCGGAGTCTGCGTCCGGGGGATCCCATCGTCCACCAGGCCTCAGCCACGTTCTCTCCCCCAGCCCCATGTTTTTCTGCCTTCCCGGAGCTGATCGTCGGCCGGGAAGCCTGTGGGTCTCTCCAAGGGTCCGTCCGGAAAATCCCCGACGTGCAGCGAAGGCGATGAAAGCCGTTGCTGCCGAGCTGCATGTACTAGGTACCATGGTGCATGCAAGTCACAGCGCCGTGACGTTCCGGCCGCTTCCAGAACGTGGGGAGGCTGCACCACCTGCACCGCGCGTGTAAAGAGATGCTGCGCCCCCTTGCTTCGCTGTCCGGACGTAACGTCGCAGCGAAACGCACTGCACTTCGAGAACGGAGGAGAAGCGGATTTGCTGCTGTCGTGGCGCAGCGGCAACCCGTGAAACCTGGGACATGGTTCCGAAAAGAGCAAGAGAGAGAGCCTACTTGGGCAATCACACCACCGTCAACCCAGCTGTGCGCGACGTTTCAAGGGAAATTATGTTTGATGATCTGGTTTGGGCTTGACATCCTTGCCTGCGGCATCCTTGAAGCACTGCTCGACTTCACTTCCGAGGTACTGGAACCTTGATGGCCATTGACTGCAAGGCGGACTGTTCTTTTGCCAGATTCGGTTCTGCAACGAAAAAAGAATTACTCGTATGTACATGCAAGGGCGGTCGCAGTGTAACCTCACGTCAGCACATTAATCGCACCCACTCATCATCCCGAACGTCAGATGTTTTATTTATGGCCCTCTGAATTCAAATCCTTCCAGACTTCCCCGCTGAGAGGCACAGCGCGAAGAGGCACGCCTGATGGCTTCGAGAAATAGTCATCATCCATCAATTATCCTCACAGGACCCGAAAAATTAGCCACGACAACAACCTCTTTTAATTCAGCAACATCCCATTCAAGCAACCGGGCTCTCCTGCCCACCCTCACACGTCAACGCGGTGCTCGAACACGCGACGCCCAGTGCGCCCGAGCTCTCGCCAACCCAGAACTTGTACTCGCCCTCGACGGCCGGCACGATCCAGTTTTGGCTCGCAACATCCCAAACGCTGACGTCCTTGCGCGTCAGCGTCAGCGCAAGCGTCTCGCTCTCGCCGGGCTGCAGTGTCGCCGTCTTGCCGAAGTCCCTCAGCTGGATGACGGGCGTGTCGTACGACGTTCCTTCCGGATACTGCACGTACAGCTGCGCCACAGCCTTGCCCGCCACCGCGCCCGTGTTGGACACGGTGACGGACACGTTGAACGCCGCGTCCCACAGCGCCGGGTTGCCGCCCTGCGCCCCGCCCGCCGGCACGCCCGCCTTCTGTTCCGTCGAGTAGCCCTCTGGGTAAGGGTAGTCCGACGAGTTGCGCTTCTCGTACGCCGAGTTGGCCTCGGACTCGGACAGCCACGAGTAGAGGTAGCGCCATACTTTGTCGAAGCCCTCGGGCGCCACCGCCTCGCTCGGTTGCGGGATCTCGGTCGAGTACGACGGCGTGCTGCCCTTGGCCGGGCGCGTAGGCGGCGTGGACGTGAGCTCAACCCCCGCGGCGATCGTGGCCGAATAGTTGAAGCTGGTGTAGCTGAGGCCGTGGCCGAAGGGGTAACGCGGCGCGATCTTCTGCTTGTTCAAGTAGCGGTAGTCGATATAGAGACCCTCGGAGAAGGTGTCCTGCGGCTGGCCGAGCTGGAAACCAACAATGCCAACGCTATCGGGGAGGTCGTCTTCCTTCTTGACGATGCTGTACGGGAGATGGCCGCTGGGCGACTGATCGCCATACAAGACCGTGGTAAGAGATTCGCCGGCTTCCTGACCAGGCAGGTGCTGGAAGAGAACGGCCTTGACCGAGGGCAGATCGATCCACTCTTCGACGAGGATGGGACCCACGGTTTGGACGATGACGATGACAGTGTCATACTTCTCGGCCGCTTTCTGGACGAGCTCGTCTCCGTTGTGCCAGGCGTTCAAGCCGGCTGATGTGCGGTCGCCAGGGTTGCCTTCAACCGACAAATAGTTCTCACCAGAGTCTGCAGTGATGAAAACCAGCGCGACGTCCCCTTCATTGGCAACTGCGTTGGACGGGAAGCTATCAGTGTTGTAGAAAGTGAGGTTGTCGGCTCTTGCGTTCAGCGCATCCATCGGAGAGTCTAGGTAAGGGAAATCGGCGGTACCAGAGCCCCAGCCCATGCCGAGCGTGCCCTTGTTGCAAGACTTGTCAGAGCATGAGTTGATCCCGTCAGGGTTCTTCTCAGCAGCAGTTCCAAAGATCTTCAACGGCGTGCTTTCCTTGAGCGGCAGTGTGCCGTTGTCATTCTTGAGCAGGGTGACAGCCTCGGTGGAGATGTTTCTGACAATAGCAGCGTGGTCACCCTGGACGTCGACAAACTCGTTCACAACGCCCGAGGGGGAGATCAAGGCTCCAGGGTAGAGGAGGCCTTCCGCATCGCTGGTCCAGGTAGAGAAGTTGATGTCCGGATAATCCTGGTCTTGGCCCACTTGATACCAGGCGGCGACGACACGAGTCGCCATGTCGTTCAATCTGTCGACGGGGACCGAGCCGTTGAGAACAGCCTCGGTGAGGTGGAAAGCCCACCAGGAGTTACCGAACAAAGGAATGGTCGGATCGCCGGGCATGCTCATGTCAAGACCGGCCAAGGCAGCGCCAGCACCCGAAATCTGGGCAAACCAGTCGCTCATGATGAAACCCTGGAAGCCAAGCTCGTCTTTCAAGAGGTTGTTGATGAGGTAGCTGTTTTGAGTGGATGCCGACCCGTTGACAGCATTGTAGGCACCCATGACAGAGACGACACCGGCGCGAACGCCCTCGGCAAAGGGCCAGAGGTAGATTTCGTGCATCGTGCGGTCGTCAATGTTAGCGCTGATACCGGCTTGGAAAGGGTTGTACCTGCGACATGTCAGCACAGCCGGTGTTGTGAGATGAGAAAGCTGCCGTCATACATGCGGTACGACTCCTGCTCGTTTCCAATGAAGTGCTTGATGGTAGCCATGACACCTTGGGCCTGTACGCCCTTGATCGTCAGAGCACCTCCGACGGCTTGGAGGACGGGATCGGAGCCAAAGCCTTCCCAGTTGCGGCCACCACGGGGCTTGCGACCCAGAGGCCCAACGGTTGGGCCAAGGTGTATGTTGACACCTTTGCCGCGGAACTCCTCGCCGATGGCCTCTCCGCGAGCATACATCAAGTCCTTGTTCCAAGTAGCACCAACGGTGATACCAGGGGTAAAGGCGGTGTTGTTCTCTGTGCCCTTAACTCCAAGGGCCGAGTCCTGCAGGCAAAGCTGGGGGAAGCCCAAACGGGGAGCGCTGCCAGTGTTTCCAACGCAGCGACCTATTCTTTGATGAGCATGGTTGCCTGCATAGGACGCGCTTTGACCTACCCATGAAATAGCCGGTTCCAACCGTGACTGTTCACACATTAGTACATAGGCAGTTCATCGGCGGAAGACTGGTGGCCAACGCACTGTTCGTCTTTTCGGCGAGCGTCATGTTGGAGACAAGCTCGGCGGCTTTTGCATAGCTCGCGCTCCAATCCTCAGTCCAACCTCCATAAGGGGCGGGGTACCAAGGAGCAGCCACATAGGCGTCGGGCACGTTCGCATTGATGGAAACGTTCTGGTTTGCGGAATCGAAAACGGAGAGGATATAGTCATAGCGCGAGTCGCTAGGGAGGGATTGAGCGGCAGCTGTGCGGGAGAAGAAAGGAAGGGATAGCACAGAGGCGAGAACGAGAGGCTGCGCAGAAGCTGCGCCAATCAACAGAGAGACGGACATGGCTACGAGCACGCTGGCATGTGAAGGCACCGCTGCGCTGGACACGGAAACCAAACGGGGAGAGGATTCCTTATAGCAGACACAGACTCGGCAATCGGAAGCATGTGGCCCAAGCCAAGCTCGGCAGTATAAAGAACGGGCGGCTTGGATGCTTGGAGCGCGAGTCTGTAGCGCTGCGGTCGGAAGGTCGATGTCTCTCGGCTAGAGCGTCTCCTGTAGATCTGGGAGGCAGGAGCCAATGGCATCGAGGGCCAGGGTGCTGGATTCGGGAGCTGGTCGAGCGGGAGTTCGGAGATGCTGCCACAAGGGCGCAAGGCGAGCGGGAAGCAATCTCGCTATGCACGTCGGCCATGCTATTTGCGTAGGTTTGCGTGGGTAGGCACGGCCCGCTCGGGGGCTCGCGGGCACGCGACCATGGCGGAGCTGTTGACGGGCGCCGTTTGGGAAAGGATGTCGCGAAGAGCAGCCGAGGGTCAGGTCAGCACCCACCAGGGCGGTTGATTGGGCCGCGGTGCCGTTGCGCCAAAGCCGTGTGTAAGCCGTTGGTGCTGTGGCGGCGGGAAAAGGGGAGAGGCGCGCGAGGAGCGAGCGAGGAGACGCGGTGAAGGCGGCCCCGCACCGAGTCAATGTCACCACACGTCGTGGCACGCGCCCGTGCTCGCTCTCCGCATTGCGACGCCGGCCAGGAGTTGGGATGAAAGGCGGGTGCGACGAAATAATCGAAGGACCAGGACCAGGACGGGAGCGCATTGTTAAGGCGAGCAGCCCGCATGACGTCACGCGTCGGAGCCCAGGGACGGGAGGCAGGCGCGGCGCGGATACAGAAAACACTGAAAACACAGCGTGACAGCACCTTTCCGTCGCCGTTTCCCCGCCGCCCAACCGAGCTCGTATGGCCGTTGACGACAGGTGACGAGGCGCGCCGACCGCCTGTCAATCGATCCCTCCGTCCGCGCTACCGGGTCGATCGACATTCGAGAAATGAGGCTGCCAGGATGAAGATCTAAGCGACATCTGATCGCTCCAGCTGAGCGCTGCTTTGGGATGCAGCACACGTGTCGGCCTCTGTGGTTTGTTTCAGTCTCTTTCTTTTTTGGGCGCCCATTGCGAATCCTGTCTGACGGCGATCCGCTCCACCGGGACACCGAGATGCTTTTTTTCACTACTTTCTATTGCCTCGCTACTTGGCCGCCGCTTCTAGCCTTTCGCCGCCTTGTGCGGATACCTATCAGCTATCCAGAAATCAACACGAAGCCAAAATTCCCCACTTGCACTTTGTTCCTTGCCACACTCCGTCTTGGCTGTCTTTGCTGCCTCCCAATCCCAGAGTGCAACAAGGAAACCGGTCCGTCTACTCCGTCTTGGCCTGCCATGACCTGATCTTCCTCTTGCCACGTTGAACCGTGTTGATGATGGCGTCGGCGTCGGCATCGGCGTCGTCGTCGTTGCGGTCAAAGAGTCCCCTCTCACCAACTCCCACTGCCTTCTCCTTGCTCTGTCCGTCACTGTGCTCATCACTCCTGGCAGCCCTCTCCCTCAGGACACACATGATCTTCTCCCTCTGAAGACGCCTGAGACCAAGGAGCTTCCTGATGAATGCCTGACGGTTGGTGTCGTTGTTCCTGGCCTCGTCCGAGTAAGGGTACGACACGTTGCCAAACCACAGCTTCCCGAGCACCATTAGTTTGTCATTCCTGGCCTTGGCAGCGGCACCGTCGGAGACGCCCTCATTTTGCTTGAAAGTATCAAGAGTCTCCTCCCTCTCAATCTCCTTCAGCAGCATCATGTAATGGTCAGATGGGTTGCGCACCAGCGCCTCGCTCTCCAATTGCTTCTGCCTCCATGAAGCCGGACGCAGTACATCCTTGGTGTCAGGAGCAATCGGCGGCTCGCCCTTGGAGAAGGTTCTGACGCTAACAGCATGCTGGCCGGTCATATCAAGGGCCGGCCTGTGACGCTCATTTCCAGGCACAGTGCTGGAAGAGGCCGTGTGGAGAGAAACCTCCGTTACGGGACGGTCAGAGCTGTCAGCCCCACCCTGGTGTTCCTGGACAAAACCATAGCCAGGACGGTTGCTGCTGCTAGGAGCCTCACGGCACATCAAGCGAAATCCACCATTGCCATGGGGACCCATGCCCCATTCGCTAGCGGTTCGCTTCTTGGGAGAACGATGCGCAGCAGTGCCCTTACCTGTAGATTCCTTGGCAGTACCTTCATCGGCACTGGTAGTCTTGTGTGAGTCGAAGAGATCGTCCCGTTTCTTGCCAAGATCTTCCACTTTCTTTTCCAGCTTCTCTTTCTCAGCATCGGCAGTCTTGTGTGTGTTTGAGAACCCGCCGCGTCTCATAGTGATCTCGTCCAGTTTCTTTAACATCTCCAACTTCGCTTCTGCCATTGCAGGGTCGCGCCACTTGATCCCGCCATCCAGATGGCTCTTCAGATTCTTGATAAGTCTGTCTGTCGACGTCTTGGAAGCGTCCATTTTCTTGATCGTTTGCATGACGGCCGATTCAGCATCAAGATCCGTGTCCTTATCGATCTCATCCTGCAAGGTCTCGATCATCGCCCCCTGTACCTTGATCATCTCCTCCAGTATCTCGATCGTCGCCTCCTGTTCCTTGAGCAGTGTCATTATTGTCGCCAGCTGCGCCTCGGAAGCTCCCTTTTGCGTCTTGACTATCACCTCTTGCAAATTGATCATCTTCTGCTGCGTCTTGAGCTTGGCTTCTAGCATCTCCATCTTCGCCGCCATCTGACGGAAGTCGGAAAGATAGCCTGCGGTCGAAGAACAGATGTCCGTGGGTGTCGATCTACCCTGCGGATTGAGAAATACCAAGCGCTGGCGAAAATTCGATGGAATGCTGGTAGGTAAGAGACCGTCACTCAGAGTAGAAGGTTCACCGAGCTGGTTGTGATCTTTCTTTCCTTCCACATCTTTGGCGATCGCAGCACGCAACTCTACCAGCTCAGCCTCGGGCTTGCAATCCAAATATTGAAGGCGCCTCGACGGAGCTGCCCTCAACGAACCGCGAACGACATCGGATGACATGTGAGCGGACGAGCTGTTCGAAGAATCACCAGAACTGGGATGGAAGGACGGCGTCATGTCGACAATGCTCGTGGCCCGATATACGCCGTCATTGCCCTCCTTGTCAACGCTGTTGGCAGGGACGCGGCCCTTGGGAACATGAGGCATCTCACACGGAAGAGAGGAGCTGTCAAGCTCAATCTCAATGGAGTTGCCGCGGAAGTCGTCGAACGAGGGGAGTGAGATGTCGGTGGCCATGACGCCGTCTGGGCGCGAGGTGCTGTTGTGAGATGTGTTCAATGCGTACATACTCGTAGCGCGGTGGGGGTGGGATATTGGGTGGCGGTATCTGTCCAAGGCCTTGGAAAGTCTATGCAAGACCTTGTGGGCGTCATCCGACTTCTTGACACCACAGGTAGTGCGATCGTTGACTGTAGGCGCCAGATCTGAGCCTCGAGGGTGAGGCAGACGAGGTGGCGTCGATGGCGATTGGTCTGTATCGCTGACCGGCTCGTGGAGACGGGTGCGAGAGGCACCAATACGCTTGACCTGGCGGGGGAGACTGCTGGCCCGGCTGGGGGTGGGTGTGTCCTGAACGGCGGTATTAGCGCGATGGGGCTGTTTCGATACGGTGAGAGGAAAAGGACGTCGACGCTCTCTGCGGCATCCTTGAAGCAACTTAAGTTCTCGCTCTTGAGCGGCCACAAACTCAGCAGTGCGGGCTTCGCGGGTCGAGAGTACGCAAGACGCGCTGTGATGCCCCAAAGCTTCGCCGAGCATGCGTGGACAGGACTTGGGCTTGCTTGCCTTCTGTTCGGTCTTCTCGAAGTGTTGGGTATAGGCAAGGTCGGCACTGCAGCAGGTGAAGCTGGTTAGCAGGAGACACTCCAGTTCTTTGCGGTTTGTTGACCTTACACATGGTCTTTAGGCTTTTCGCGCGTCATGGTGGCTGTTCGCGAGAATGAGCATGGGTCAATTGCTCGAGTGCGCAAGTTGGATGAGGTTGACTGATTGAAAGATTGAGGTTGGGTGAGATGGAAGAAGCAGAGGTGGCGGTTTCTGTAAAGGAGAGGTGTTTAAATAAGACGGGTGAGGCAACACTGGCAGCGGGCAAGGAAACAGGCGAGAAGTGGAGCAAACGAAGCTGGCAGTGACAGTAATCAAATGCGATACCACGTGCCGACGGAAGGCCGCAGTAGCCCGTGCACGGCGTTCAGCAGGTCTGTTGCCTACCATATGTGGCTTCCTTGCCTAGGGTACGCAACTTCCCTGTCGCTGAATATCTGAATCTCATCATCGCCGAGCCACCCTGCCGGGCATGCGGCGGCGTCGTCACTTCCAAAACGGTCTGCAAGAAGCACGCCACCTCTATCAATGATTCGCCTTTGAATAATCTCAGTAGCAAGCACCCGGGTGCCCTGGAAACCAAGGTTCCCCCGTCCAACATAGTCCATGCGGGAAAAGCAGCAACGCTCCATCCGCCACGCTCCATCCGCCACGCTCCATCAGCCACGGCCACACCCGTTGCCCCTACCACGGACGCATCAGTCGCGACCATTGACAGCATCCCCCGAGTCCCGATCCTGGTCGGCGTGACAATGGTAGAAAGGGCCGATGCGGGTGTTGCTGAAGAAGCTGCTGCGCGGATTGCCGGTGCGCTCCCTGAATCCTTCATGATTGCCATCAGCCCCGCCTACACTAGCCATGCCAACAGCATCGCCACCATGATCACCAACAGCGCCGGCAGCGACAGCAGCAGCGGAAGCGGCATTCTCGTTCTCAGTGGCGTTGCTGGAAATGAGCGCGGCGACCTCGGCAGGCGCCTGACTGAGCCAGCGCCTAGCAGCGGCGAGCAGCGCGAGCTCCTTCTCTAGCATAGTGACCTTGCCCCTTTCAGACTCCAGTGCCTCCTTGAGCCGGCGCACCTCTCCCATCAGAAGGTTATTGGGGCGGGTAGGAAGGGGCGGGAAGTCGGAAGTGGCAACGCCGCTATTGGGGCCATCGCTACTTGGACCGTCTCGCGGGTTGGTCGGGGTGACGCGGATGTTGCCCGTGGAGTCATTGCTGACGGTGACTTTTTCGTGGGGGACAGTGTTGCTAGTCGTTTCGGGAGAGTCCGTGTGATTGTTGCCTCTGGTGTTGTCGCAGCGGGTAAAGTTGAGGCGGGTGTTGCTGGGACCGTCGCTGCACCGGGGATTGCGACCTTAGCACTTGCATGATGGAAAGGAGGTAGGGAGCTGTACTCACTGGCTAGAGGCATGATCATCGGACATGTTGGGTAGACCTGCCAGAAGCGCGGTCGGAGGTGGAAAGCTAGTTACGGGTGCGTTACGGGAAGACGAAGGCATTGAAGTGTAGAATCTGGCGGATGCGCCACCTACAGCGGTGTCCGCTGGTTATAAAGCAGAGATTGCTGTCGGTGCTTCGTTGCTGCTTTCACCAAGACTTGCTGTCAGGTTGCTTCTGGTATCCGCTTGATCGAGAAGCGTCCAGTCATCCTGACCAACCATTCAGTTGACCAATCTAGGACAGCTGTTGCCCGCCTGCTCAATTTATCCATGATGTTAGTAAGAGAAAAGCACTATGGAAACTTGTTTGGACGAAGATCTTGCAATAAGAAATACTTGTGTCAAGGACAACCGAAAATGGTTCCCAAGTATCATTACCATAATCTATGTAGGCCAAGCCCATGGTATCCCCTTCTCTACGACGAAGCTAAAGTAACAACGTATCTCATGAAAAACGGGATGCTTAACCCTGGACTTCCAAACCTCCAGTGCCATGAACAGTCTCGCCTGTGGAAGCTTGTTAGTGTTGAATTGGCCATGGATGAATTCGCCGGAGAAATACCTGTGAAGTAAGATCCGTATGGACTGGCAAGGAAGACGTAAGCGGTGGCAATCTCGACTGGCATACCTGGCCGGTTAAGAGGGGCTTCGCCGACCCCAAGGCCCTTCATGACCTCCGGGGGGTTCCCCTTTGTGGCTGGTTGAAGCGGCGTCCAGCTATGTGCCATTAGCACGACGAGTTATGAATCACAATTTACGGCTAGACCTACATGATTCCCGGTGCGACGGCGTTGACCCTAATGCCGTGCTTTGCCTGCTGTTGGGCCAGAGAACGCGTAAAAGTGGTGATGGCGCCCTTGGTAGACGAGTAGTCGACAAGCTGAGGGTTGCCCATGTAGGCAGCCACGGAGCTGGAGTTGACGATGCAATCGCCGCGCTTCATGTGTTGAAGAGCAAACTTGGTCATGGCAAAAATGGAGAGGATGTTTGTCCGATAGGTTTTCTCCACTGATTGCAAGTCGATGTCGCGGAACTCGTTGGAGATCTCCTGCATTGCGCCTGTGGAAAGCAATTAAAGTCTGTTCGGGAAGTGCGTCGATCCAACCAACATACTGTTATTGACCAGCACATTCAGCTTGCCGAAAGCCTTGATGTGGCCATCGACCACCTTCTTGCACTCGTCCTCTTCGCGCACATTCGAGGCCATGAGGTTGGCTCGTCTGCCGGCCTTCTCGATCTGGGCCTTGGTCCATTGTGCGTCCTTCTCTTCTTCGGGCAGGTAGACAATGGAGACATCAGCACCCTCCCGTGCCATGAGGATTGCCACGGAGCGGCCAATGCCGGAGTCGCCACCGGTGATCAGAACAGCCTTGTCCTTCAGCAGGCCGCGGCCTTCGTACTCTTTCAGATAAGGCTTGCCGTCGTCGCCCCAAAACTCCAGCTGGGTGAAGTTGGCGGCGGGCTTGAGCTCGGCGTCGAGACCAGGGCCACCTTCCTGGTTCTGCTCCTGCAGCTCAACGCTGGGGTAGGCGGTAATCGGCTTCTCTTGCGGCATTTTGTGAGGTGTTGAGGGAATTGGAGTAGTTTCTGGGCGAGGAGAGCGGAGAGGCGATGGGATATTTATTCCAGGCGTCGCTTCTCCATTACCCGCCTATGACGTTTGCACTGCGCAACTGCCTTTGACTGCAGCTTAGGTAACGGCTGGTGACGCGACCGGGGCACGGACCGCAACTCTAACTACACCCAACTGCATCCACCCACCCTTCCGCTCTCCCCGCCGAGCCTCATGCTATCCAAAAATAGGCCCCGTCACGCACCCGAAACCCGCAAACAAGCGTCGCCGCCTGGATCCACCGCCCCCGCTACCGCCTGCTCAGGTTCTCGCCCCATCATCAGGGCTACCAATGTTGCCCTCGCCGTAGATTCTCGCCCTGGTCCCGTCAGCCATGGCCGCTCGACTTCCGCTTGGAATATGGCGGGCAGCTTCGAGAATCCTAGCCGCGGCCCGAAATTTGTGGTGGCTGCATTAACGGTTGGGAGTGGAACGTGGGTCGGGGTGGATGACCTCTAGAAAAAGACAAGGCAAAAGAAACTTCTCGAGTGGACGCGGATGCAAGAGAAGACTAAAGTATGGACAAAAATTGTTGTGTGGATAACCCCTTGGAAAAAACCCTCCCCTCGTCTCGTATTTTTTGAGGAAAAGATGCGTCTATGATAACAACTCCCTCAACACTCCATGCGTGTTGATATATGCAATCCCCTCCTTTCTCCACGTATCATCCTCCACAAAACTCCCATTAGCTATCAAGACCATGTTCACCGGCGCCGCCAGTTCATACTTTGGCCAGTGCGGCAGCGCCGCAACAGCCTCGCCCGTACCGTTCGTTCGCCCGTTCGGATCGCCCGTGGCTACGAAATTCGCATACGCCCGCCCGATGCCCAGACTCAGCTCTTTGTAGCTCGGATACGGCCCCAACGCGCCGCTGATGTTCTGAAACGAGAAGACGACGTTGCAAAAGTGATTCGCGCCCGTCGCGGCCGGCGCGTTCCACAGCGGCGTGTCGAAGCGGTAGCTCCACACGTCCTGCTCGGCAGCCGCATACGCCTCGGCCATGCCGCGGCGCTGCGCGACCATGACGAGGTCGCCGCCGATGGCGCCGGAGCGGCGCCATTGGGTGCCGTACTGGGCGAAGGGCTCGGACGGGGCCACGTGGAAGGGCGGCTTCGGCGTCGTCGCGTCGTCCGGGTAGAGGGCGAGCAGGCGGCGGACGGTGGGCGGGGAGAGGGCGTAGTTGCGCCAGGAGAGGAGGGAGTTGGCGAGGGCCGTGTCGTTGTCGAGATTGTACTTCAGCGAGAAGGACGTGCCTTCGTCCGTGTTGGCGCCGGTCAGGAGGGCGACTTTGACGAAGCTCCCCTCGGCGCGCAGGTCGGACGGGTATGCGGTGAGGAAGTCGCCGTCGACGAGCGGGTTCCACACTTGGCTGGGACGGGCGGCGTGCAGGGTCGCGGCGGGCAGGTCGCGCAGGCACGACAGCGGGTCCGACGCGCCCCAGCAGCCGACGGTGCGCGTGAGGTTCTCCATGGCGGCGTTGTAGTGCGGGAGCGTGTTTAGCGACGCGCCCGTGGGCCCGCCCGACTCGAGGATGGCGCGCGAGAACAGCCCGTCGTCGCGCCCGCCGTACGCGTGCATCTGCAGCGCGATGCTCTGCGCGCCCGCGCTCTCGCCCCACGCCGTCACCCGCGACGGGTCGCCGCCGAACGCGCCGATGTTCTCCTGCACCCAGCGCAGCGCGAGGCGCTGATCCAGCAGGCCCGCGTTCGCGCTGCCCTCGGCGAGGAGCTGCGCCGACTGCAAGAATCCCCAGATGCTGAGCCGGTAGTTGATGCTGACGCCGATCATGGGCTGGCCCGCGTCAGCCGCAGTCTTCACGATGCCCGATAGGTTGTATTGCGGGTCGGCGCCCGAGCCGGCGGAAAGGCCGCCGCCGTAGATCCAGACTAGGACGGGGAGCGGACTGCTCGTGTTGGTGTAGCCACTTGGGCGGACAACTGGGAACGAAGTTTCTGTTAGCTTTGTCCCTCCTTTTCTTTTTCTTTTTCCCTTTTCTCTCCAGGTTCGAACTATGGGCACAAATGGGAAAAGGTTTTTGTCGTACTGTTGAGGTTGAGGCAGTCCTCATCGTTGTTGTCCGTGATGCCCAGTGTGCTCTTCTGCTGGATGCAAGTGTGTCCGTACTCGTTCGCGTCTCTGACTTCGGAAAAGGAGGTGTTTAGCGATTGCGGCCACCTGAAACGCAAGCGGCCAACGGGCGGCTGGGCAAATGGGATGCCGAGGAACACATCTTGGTCCCAGCCGGCCAAGTGACGGCCCGCGTACGTGCCGTTGATCGTCTTGGCCGTGGGCGTGGACGACGAGTTGGACGCCAGAGCGGACGCCGCGCCGGCAAGCTGCGCTGCCGTCTTGAATAACCTCATGCCTGGAGCAAAGACGCGCTACAGAAGGACGAATAAGGAGAGGAGGAGGAGGAGGGAAAAGAGAATTAAGTACCTCTCCAGGACGACCGTCATGGCGGTTGAGCAGCATGGAGATGGGCTCGCTCATTTGCTTGCAGTGCGGCTAAATCAGCAAGCGAGTGCGAGGAGCATAAGGAGTGGATGGATTAATTTCCCCAGCGGATATGGGACGCAGTATTTTTCCCGGCCGCCACAGGCGCACAGATGGGGACAGATTGTGGGGGAGCGGGAGGCCGAATGCGGGGAAGGTAGCCGCATTACCTTTGCCACGAAAACCGCGGATCGTTCGGAGCCTCGTGCCTGCGCGCAGGGTCGTTCGCCTCCATCTCATACACCATGGGCACATGCGCCGCCGCCAGCTCGTACGCATTGTCCTTGCCAGGGTCCAGCTCGGTTCTGCCCCTGATGTGGTCATGTTTCGACGCCTGCATCTCCGAAATCTGCCCGCTGTCGACCTCGGCGGGGAAGAAGCCATGCCATTTGGCCGCTTCTCCTTGTTGTTGTTGTTGTTGCTGTTGTTGTAGTTGCAGCAGTTGTTGTTCTTGCAGCTGCAATGCCTCGTTGGCCTTCTGCTCCGCCCCTTTTCTCTTGCTCCGGCGCCGCCAGCAGAAGATGATGGCCACGATCAGGAACACGCCAACCACAGATGCGGCGACAGCGATGCCGGCGGTCGCGCCAGTGCTGAGCCCAGTCGAGCTGCCGAATGTGCCGTCGGTCTCGTCGTCATCGGGCGACCGGATGGTGACGACGTCGGCGGCGGGCAGCGGGTCGGAGAACTTGGCTTGGGCGACGGTGAAGTTGCGGCGCTCGTGGTCGACGACGAGGTAGGCTTCCTGGAGCAGGGTGCGGCCGAGGCGGTACTGCGAGTCGTTGGCGGCGCGGCGGATGGGGAAGTAGCGCGTCGCGTTGGAGTAGACAGGGGCCGAGATTTCGAGGTCGAAGGCCGAGTACGGCAGCACGATGTTGGTGCTGTTCGACTCGCTGGTGTAGATCTGGTCGCCCAGTTTGATGGTGAACTCTGGGTTGAGGTCGGTGAGGCGGGAATGGATGGTATCGTTGACGAGGTACAGGTCCGTGGTGTTGTCGTAGGTCAGGCCGAAGTTGTTGGCGAAGGTGTCGCACACGTCCTCAGGCAGCCACAGCTCCGGCACGGTCGAGTCGATGAGGGAGAGGTGGCCGGTGTGGGTCATGGCCGCGACGCCGATCAGGCTGTTGGACGCCGTGATAGACTGCACGCCGACCATTAGATTGCTGGTGTCGCCGTCGGCGAAGCTGAAGTTGAAGGTCGGGGGCGAATTGAACCGGGCTTGGTCGTAGCCGCCCAAGAGAAGACTTCCAGGGACTTTGTCATTGCCTGGATCGGAGCATCAGTACAGGTGTCGCTACGGAGAGCAAGGGGCGTACGGTAGTAGGCGCCAGCGGTATAGGCGTACGACAGGCTTGGGATGGAGTTGTTTGTTTTCAGGTTGTCCAGGAGGCTGGTAACGGGGTCGCTCGTGCTATCGAGGCTGGAGGAGACGGGGCTCAGGCCCAGCACTCCCATGTAAAACTCCTTGTCGGCGACGCCAGCAACAAGCTGGTGGTCCATCTGCAGAGCGGCATCGTCGCTGCTGCTGCCTAGGCGGACCGAGTCGTAGCCATACAGCCCATCCCCACTCAGGCCGAGGTCGTCTTCGAGGCCCAGGGTGTAGGTGCCCACGGACTCCCAGGTCGACGACTTGTTGGTCTGGAAGCCTACGCTGTTCTCAGCACCGCGCGAAGAGGCACAGTCGGAAGGGTCGTCGGCGGTGCAGCCGTCAGGAGCAGGCACCCAAGTCTCGTGACCGCGCGTTGATACGAGAACGCGGAATTCCTGGGCTGGCGTCCCAACGCTCAGGCGAAAAGTGGACCAGGAGCCGTCGTTTCCGTCCCACTGGCCGGTGTTCGGGACCGTGTATGGCGCCGACACTGCGTCTGCACGCCGGCGCAGAAAACTCATCGCGACGCGCGAGTCCACAGGAATCAGGCGAGTAAGCCGCGGCGCCGGGAAGAGCTGCGACGGAGCAGGCAGGTGGCGGTTACGTCGGCGAAGAAACAGACATGGGCGGAAGTGCAGATGTTTAATGAGTTGTCATGGGGCGAAGCGCCTGGTCAAGGGCCGGCGGCTAGGGATGAGAGCTGACGCTCGTGCCCCATCAACGCTTAGTCACGCTCCTCATGCCGTCGTCTTGGCCCCCATCTTCTCGGCGGCCGCAAATTAGTCTTTTTCTTTTCCTTTTCTCTTTTCTTCTTCTTCATGCAGCGAATCGTGCTGTGCCCGGAAGGCCAGTAGTGGCAGTAATGATGACCAGTGAGATATACTGATTCTTGGGTCGAGGGTGGATGCGATGGCAGTTGAGCACTGCGCCATATCTCCTTCTCCCTGCATGAAAGCGCATCGTCGAACTGAGCCGGGTGGTCAATATCAGTAGGGCCATGGCCGAGAACGAACGCAAAGTGATCCGAATGCACCTTGCCATTGATCTCAGCTAGTTCTTCCTCGAGTGCCCACGCATGTGAGTGTGCTCAACGAAAAGTTGCCGAGTGGCGAAGAGGCCAAACCACTGCATTCGCATCAGCCAGAGGCAGTGCAATACCGGCGACACTGTGGTCGGCGTCGATTGAGCGGAGCTCAGCGCGCCGCTCGACCCGTTGCCAAAAACTGGTTTAATCAATAAAAGTGCCCCCGTAGGGGCGTTCTAGAGATTAAACTAAAAAGAACAGGTACTGCACTTGATCTAAGCCAAAAGGCAAAGAGAGCTGGAGAAGAAAAGAAGGTGTTTGGTCGACGGGGCCAAGGGTTTAAGTAGGTAGGACGACAGAGAGAGGACGGGGACATGGCGCATGACCATACTCGCGGCCGTCCGTGCGGGATCCCGGGGCAACGCGGCTCAACCAAGTGTACCAGGCTATCGGTACACCTGTGAACCCTTGTTTGGTCATGGCCGTGACATCAGAAGCGACAAACACCACGCGCGTGACCTCGAACATGTAGGGTGCGTGGTAGCTGTTTCTGACTGTCACAACTTCCTGCGAATGAGAATCAAGAGGAAACAAATTCACCCGCTGAAAGCCCCCAAATAATTGCCGGGCATGCTAACCCGTTGCCAACAAATATATGGCAATTGGCCGTAACAAATTGCTTGCTGTGCCAAAACACCTTTCATTATACCTAGCGGTTGTGAGAAAAACAAACGTGCACCAACGTGGCTGCGGAAGAAAAGTGACGTGAAATCAAGGCGTCTTGACCCTTTGGTCATCGTTTCAACGCTACGTTCAAGGAGTCATTGAATGCAGTCAAATACAATAAGTCAGGCGCCTCCGAACATCACTAAGCACATCAAAAGATACTCACCGCGAATTCAGCTAGGACGTATCTGTGTGGATCAAGTATGGTACGCTACGGAATAGAGTCCTTGCCAATAGCTTGGCGTGAGTGGAAGTCTTGAGCTGGCTTTTTGACGTCGTGGCGTATCCAAGGAACTCATGCCTGCCCAAGCGATCCAGACTTGGAACATGAACAATGCCTACATGAATATATGGAGGATGGGTCGGCAAACCATTATCTCCATCTACTGTAACATGCCGTCAGCTGTTCAGTAAGCAATGCTTGAAGCGAACCAACCATCCTCAACCAACTGCCCAACCTTGACACCGGTAGGAATTAGACCAGGAGTAACAGAACCGCCCGACAGATCATCTTGAGGATACATGGCACGCCTACCTCCCTCCTGTGGGCAGTTGAAAAACATGGCTTAGCCCTTTGGGGAATCGTGGAGGTCCTCTGACTGTAGAGCAACCGCCCAGGGATACAAATGAGCAGCGTTCGCTGTCGGATGGTGGCGGCACGGTACTTCCCGGTCGAACTAATTCAAGAATTCAGCTCAAGACATTGGTTCGGCGATCCGCGAAGACAGCAATTCTCTTGTATGGGTTCTATAGCTACGAGGGGCCTGTTGGCTGATGTCCAGGATGACCAATGAGGCTGGTTTGAGGCTGAGATTAGGGCCTGGACTACCTAGTACAATAGCATGGCGGGGATGATGCAGGTTGCGTAAGAGGTGCGGTTCGAATGCTTTTTCTCTATGGCCTAGACGCTGGTGGGTCCAATCCTGGGGGAAGCGCTTGCATCAACCGCACTACTCCAAACACCGCCGACTTTGACCGAAGGACCGGTTGTGGCGCAAACTCACTAGTCGGTCCGGTGAAAGAAGTAGAGGATGCGCAAGGTTCTCCGCTTGACCAGGTCGTGCAGGCTTAGTCATGGCACTACGTTGTCTTTTTGACCAGGGGTTTTGGGAATTGTTGATTGGTATCGTGGCTGGGTAAAGTGATGGCTGGTCATTGATAGAGCAATTACTTTTTGACAAAGCTGTTATGGGTATAACAGGCGGTAATATGAAATGATGTCAGAGAATCCCGTGATTAATAGGATCATGGAGGCCGTCGCGGAGCCATGGCGAAGGCGAAACGACTTTGAATAAACACCAGCAAAGAAGGAGCAGAATCGGAAGTAGCAACAAGGACTCAAGAAAAGAGGGGAAGACATACTACTCAAGTAAATATGGAGTTTGACTATTCCAAGCATGTGTCGCCAGACACCATCATTGCCAGAGGAAGTAGTAACTTGCGACTATGCTTTGGCAATCCCAAATCATCGTGAGAGGATGCTTCAGGCTTAGCTTGGGCAATGGCATTAGACCTGTAGCGTTGCGATGGAATAGCCGCATGTTTCGTTAAGATGGGCGGCCATCGTCAGTTACGACTGAGAATTTAAGTTGCTTGTTTGGGCAACGTGCGCATCAATGTCATATTTGTGGGCCAGTGATCTCCGTGGTCATGGCTTTCGGACACACGATGCGCGTCATAAGCGCGAAATAGCGGTCGCACAGAGGTATTCGGGTGCTGAGGCTGAGCGGTGGGGCTGGACACGAGTCGGACAGAGGATAGCGGGCGCACAGGTACGCTGGAGACGCTGTGTGTGTTGGAAGCTGGAGTGACGTCTGCCAATGGATTGAGCAAAGTGCGGAGGAGGCGTGGAGCTTGGATCACTTCGCTTGTCGTGGATCAGGCGGGTGTGTCCGGCGCGGTGACGGAACCACGACCGGTTGCGCAACGAGGCGACAGCGCGGGCGCGAGGCGCGAGACATATGCGCTGTGCTGTGAGTAACGTGTCGTGTCTCGCCTCGACGCGCGACGAGGACAGTGGTGGAATTTATCGGGCGCTGTCTGGGGCGCCTAGGCAGGGCGGGAAGGTGAGAGAGGTGGCTGGGAAGCCGCTAGCGCCGCCGCCGCCAGCCAATCAGCGCCGTCGTTGCTGGGCCAGCAGAGCAGGTTGCCAGCCCTGGAAGCTGCAACGCAGGGAACCAGCACCGCGCTGCAGCTGCTTTCTCTCGCGCTCTCCCAAGTGTACCGTCTGACGACACGCCCGCGACCTCTTCTCGAAACCTTTCCCCGGACAAGCGCAGCCCTCCTCACACCTCGCGACAGCGCCCCACCAAGTGCCGTCGGGCACGCTCCGCACCTCCGCCCTCCACACCTCTGTCGTCAGCACTGCCCTCCCCACCGCCCTCACCACCGCGCCTCCCTCCGCGGTCTCCACTCGCGGCTGAGCCTCCTCTGCCTGTCGCCTTCGCTCACGTTTTGCACGACCGTTACGGCCTCTCTTTGCGCACTCGTTTTGTACATTGTTCCTTGCCGCCTGCTTCCAGTCGCCGCGAATTGCCGACGGCACAGCACATACAAACATCAAACTACCAGCTCCCCATGCTATAGACTTCTTCCGTCCTCGCGCATATACCATCCACCCATCCGCCCATCCGCCTACCTTTCGATTCGATCCGCGCCACCCGTACACCCGCTTCTTACCGGACACCACCACAAACGTCCCAGCATGTCTACGGACGGGCTTGCCGCCCCGGGCAGCAGCCAGTATTCGTCCGGCACCATGTATGTCGGCGACGGCACTTGGGATTCAGAGAGGAACACTTTTCTGTTACCCAACCTCATGGGCTTGAACTTTGACACCATGCGCTACAACGGTAAGCTAATGTCTGATCCGAGCCAGCTTTCACACAAGACTGACTAGCTTGCAGGCATGGGAAACCGATTCAAGGAGCTGGCAGGCTACAAACCACTCATAATCGGCCATGGAGTTGTCGCCGTCATCGTCTTTCTTGCCATCGTCCCCGCCGCCATTTTCATGGCCCGGTTCTACCACCGCAATCCTCGTCTAGCTCTGCGCATGCATATATGGCTGCAAATCTTGACCGTTCTGTTGACGACAGTGGTCTTCATACTTGGGTGGTTCGCTGTCGGCCCGGAAAGGAGTCTTACCAACCCGCATCATGGTATCGGCTTGGCCATCTTCGTCCTCGTTCTCGTCCAGGCCATTGGTGGCGGTCTCATTCACCACAGAGAGAAGGGCAGGGAGCGTTTCAAGATTCCCTTGAAGCTGATGGTGAGTTTCAATCCTTCTTCTCTATGCCCTTTCGGCCGGCTAAAATTTGTCAGATGCACCAATGGCTGGGACGCGCAATTGCCATCCTTGGCTTCGTTCAAATCCCACTTGGTCTCACTCTTTGGGGCTCTCCCAAGGTGCTTTTCGTGCTTTACGCCGTTTGGGGATTCGGCCTTCTTCTCGCCTACTTTTACCTGTCGTGGAAGAACTTGCCGGTCGGCGCATTCGATGAAACGGGAACGTACATCTCTGATTACACAGCTGTGACCGACGATAGACAGAGTCGCCGAAGCCATCGACGCGGCCTTGGCGCTTTGGCTGCTGCTGGTGCCGCAGGAGCCGGACTGGCAGAAATGCGCAGGAGATCGCAGAGTAGAAGACGCTCTGAAGTGACCGAACAGCATACCGTCCTCAGCTCGCGGCCTACAACATCACACCGCCGGCCCGGCTCCCGCCACGACCATGATGAATCTTATCTAGATGAGAAATATTCCGAAGATGGCGGTCGCCGTGGCCATACGTGGCGCGATCGACTGCTGGGTGCTACTGCAGGCCTTGGTGCGCTCGCGGCTGTCAAGGGTCTTTTCAATCGCAGAAAACGGGAGGAAGAGAGCGTCGTCAGCAGCTACGTACCCCCGCCTGGAGGAGCGACTTCTGTCACGCAGACGGATTTGAGTAGACTCGAGGAAGGCCGAGCTCCCGCTTCTCCTGGAAACGCTGCAGACCGCTACAGACGCACCCAGGAGAGCGAGGTAGCAGAGGACGCTGCCTTTTCGGGGAGCCCAGTGCGCAGAACTGGCCCCCACACAAGAAGAAGCGGCGATTCCATCGATTCTTGGGATGACCGGGAGAGCTTCGATAGCATTCGCGATGAACCGCACGGTGATGGCCACGGTGCTCGAAACGGCCTCATGGCACTGGGCCTTCTTGGCTTCATTAAGCACAAGCTAGGCCAACGGAAAAAGGATAAGGAGCAGACACGGGTGGAGGACATGCGGCAGCAGGATCTCGAAAACGAGCGAATTGCGCGGATGGACAGCAATCGGCGGAGGTTCACAGGGGATGGGACGCCTCTGACAGCACCTGGCAGGCGGTACTCGGATGGCACTGAAAGTACCTTTGACTTCAGGGGAAACAACCCTGAGCTTTCCCGCCACTCGCTCCCTCGCCCTGGCCCGGTCACACCCACACGACCCACAATGGGAAGCAGAATCGAGACGGTCGGTGAGGGCACACACCACCTGACGGGGGTACCTCCACCACCACACGATCCGTTGCCCGTGCCCGCTGGCGGAATGTACGCAGACTCGGATTCCGAGCTCTATGCGGCGCCAAGCAGGCATTCTCACCGCCGTCACTCTAAGCGGGATGCGGCATTGGCTGGTACTGGCGCTGCAGTAGCCGGAGCTGCAGCATCGCGGCGAGGCCATAGCCGACGACGACCACACAGCAGTGACACTAACCTTACGTCGCCGCCCGTATCAGTCAAGGTCAAGATGCACAAAGATGGTCGCCACGTCACCTTGCGCCGCCTGGGCGAAGCGGAAGCAGCAGCCGAACGAGAGGCGCGGCGGCGCGAGCGCAAGCGCGCGGGCAGTCTGAGCTCCGTGAGCGGTGACGAACGCTGGCGACGCACGGAAATGATGGAGGCACAACAGGCAGCAGACATGGAGAAGGACAGAAGTCGATTCTCAGCTACAACCCAAGCCGAGTCGACTGTGCCTCCTCTCCCAACGATGGACCACCCACTTTCGCCGGGCCCTCCACCCGTACCGAAACACCAGTCGTCCCCTCAATCGGCAACGGGGCTGCCGCCGCCGGCAGGCACCATGAGCGGGCTTGGCAGCTTGGGCAGCGGAGGTGACCCTTTCAGCCCAGCTGGCACGGAGCAGAGCAGAGCCGACAGCAATCGGCGGCGGCGCAGGGCGGAGCGGGCGCAGGCGAGGCTAGCAAGAGGTGGCGGAACAGGGAGCAGGGTGGAGTTCACGTAGGCGGCGAAGGCGTCATCCCTAAGAAAGCTTGGCGTGGAGATTGCTTCTGGGGTGGAGTTCGCCTGACGAACGCCTTGCCCTGCAGAGATCTCGAAGGCCGATAGTGGCCAAGAGGCTCTCGCAACGAACATGGTCTGGGCCAGCATCACTGGTACATACATACAACCAGACGTACGAGCGGGGGGGCGTAGCAGTCGGACCCGGATCAGAAAAGCCCAGGGCGTAATTGGCGGTATCATGCGGCGAGGGTGGTCTGACTTTTTGGTTTCTTTCTTTCTTCATTCTGCGTATTTCTGGAAGGCATTGGGCGAGCATGGCGATGGCGCATGGTCTGCACGTGGAGGTGCTTGAGCTTGTCGTGTTTGATTCGATGCATGGTTCTAATTCCCCAACCAGGCACTCGGGAGCGCGGTGGTCTTGGTTGTAGCTCACGGTTTCTTGCGGAGGCGGGTCAATTTCCTTGTTGGGCGCATGGGGCTGGGGGTTGTGGCTGGTGGTATCCTGTACAAGTAATGGCGCCGAATCCAAAGGTGATTCGCTTTAACGAGGTGGACGTCGTCATCGTCATGGCGGCTGTTGTGTAACGAGCGGTGCCCGGTTTGCAACGGCCGTTGGCCGTTGGCGAGCGGCACAGCAGCCAGCAACGCGGGCGTGAGGCTCTGTGGTCGCACACTGCAGCGTCGCTTAAAGGCAGGGGCTTCGTCTGATCTGGACGTGGTGTTGTCTCGCGTCCTCACCACTGCCCGTCATCGGCCGCTCAACGCGCAACGCGCAACGCACGACCTTCGATACCCGTCCGTCCTGGCTCCGGCGCTCTCTCGCGCCGTCGCACTCGGGCAGGGCTGGGCACGCGGCAGCCCGAGCTCTCCTTCGCCTTGGTGTCTCAGGCTGGCCCATTTTCCATCGCGTAAGCGCACGTCCGCGGCAGGCGCTCAACTGACAGCCAGCACACTTCGTTGACCGACTCGTGGAACGCATCCTGCGGCGTGGGCAGATGTCATCAGCGGCGCGAGGCCCAAGGGCGACTATGGCAAGAATGGCAGACGGCAGACAAGGGGACAAGGGGGCTTCACGATGCGGACGACGCTGGCCGGATTCTGCTTCAGCAAGCGACCTGGCCGCTCGGTTTGCTGCGCCGGCTTCCCGCTCTCGAGTCATGGGGCAACATCATCGTCAGCTCCCCGGCGGCGGGCCATCAATGCCGCGAACGGCGAGCACCCGCTTGCCCGCTTGCCCGGTGCAGGGCGCAAGGCAGGCCAGAAGCGCACCGCAGAAGGGCCTTTTGGGGCGTCTTGCGCGTATATAGAGGGCGCTGCGCTGCTCTCTCGCGCCCTCGGCCACTCCTGGGCAAAGGTAGCCTTCTCGTACGCATCATGGCAGCATGACCCCTCCGGACCCAGGAAACGCAACCCCCCAAGGCGAAAGCGGGCGGCCTGTCCCGGGCCTCGATACGCGCGATTCATTCGGCAGCATATGCCGCAGCCAGGTCAAGCTCGACTGCCCGCAGCGCGCGCGCGCGCTCTTCCCACTCCTGCGCGCGCGCGACACGACATGCGCCCGGCCCGCGCACGCTGGGCTGGCGGGCGAGGCGGCAGTCGGGCAGCGCTTTAGAGCGAGGGTGAGGGTGAGGGCAGGGCCGGGCAGGGCCAGGCGTGTGGCGGTGGCCGGCCGGCGCGGGCGCAGCGTGGGCTCTGCGGCGGCAGGCAAGGCGAGAGAGGGCGCTGGCGGCGCTGGCGGACAGCTGGCCGGCAACGCGTTGACGCCATAGTGGGCATGGACTTGGACACCGCATGTCGCAGTGTGTCGCGCTCGCACTGACACGCGCTGCTGCCGTCGACAAAGTGGGGTCAGCGATCAAATTTTGATATCGCCCTCGGACGCAATTGGGATTGGCGTTGGGAGCCGCCGCCAGGCCCCCACCACGGGCCAGACGCGCGCGCAGAGCTGTCCGGCGGCGTGAAGCGCACGAGGAGGCTTGGGTGCGGCGTGCCTGGGAGTGGGCTGGCGGCGCCGCCTTGACGCTGCAAGCATCGCCCCTGCTCGCGCTTTCCGCGGCCAAGGGCGCGCGTGCTGTAGCTCGTTCCTGACTTCTGGGCATGTTCGGTTCCAAAGTGCGCTAGTTTTAAGGCTGGGCCGGCCACGCTAGAGGATGTGCAAGGACAAGCACAATGAGGTAAGTCGGATGCTGTGCGGTGCGCGTGCAGAACGTCGTCGACCAACTTTATTATTTCACGCCGCCCGCGCCCAGGCTCATGAGCGCCGCCCGCCAGCCCTCGCAGTCAATGGCAAAGGCTCTCGCCAACCAGTCCACCATGTCCTCCACCCCCTCGAGCACGCCGGTCAAGCGCGCCTGTGACAGGTGAGTGCCCCGCCGCCGCCGCCGCCGCCTGCGCCTGCCAGCCCATGCCACCACTGCTCCCGTCTGACCACACCACAGCTGCCACCGCCGCAAGGTCAAGTGCATTGGAGAAGGCCACAAGCCGTGCAAGAACTGCGTGTCGGCCGGCCTCAACTGCACCTACAATGCCATCCCCCAGAAGAAGGGCCCCAAGGGCAGCCGCGCCAAGGTGCTCTCCGAGCTGCGCGAGACGCAGCGCCAGTCGCAGCTGGCCGCCAGCGGCTTCCCGGACCTGTACAACGCCCACAACATCGCCCTGCAGCGCCAGCCCGGCCTGATGTCCCTCGACCTGATCCACACCTGCGTCGACTTCTTCTTCCAGAACCTGTACCCCTCGCAGCCCATCCTGCACCACCAGCGCATTCAGGAGGCCATCCTCAGCATGGACCAGAACGTCGAGGCCTACTGCATGATCGCCGCCCTCTGCGCCTACATGCTCATCCAGCCGAACATGTCCCTGCCGCCGAACATCGTGCCGCGGGGTCCAGAAGGCCCGATCCCCAACCTCAGCTTCGGTCACGTCTTGCTCGAGGAAGCCGTGCGCGTGAGAAAGAGCTACAACCACATGGAGAACCCCACCCGCTACTCAGTCATCACCTCCTTCTTCTTCTTCAGCAGCTACCAGTGCCTGGACAAGCACAACACGGCATGGTACTATCTGCGCGAGGCCACGACCCATGCCCAGCTGCTGGGCATGCACGACGAGGAGACGTACAAGACGGGTGACTTCATCGAGTCGTCGCGCCGGCGGCGGCTGTACTGGCTGCTTTTCATCCAAGAGAGGTCCGTTCCTGTGCCGTGGTGTTGTTTTGTGTTGTGTTGTGGAGAATTCGCCCGAGCTGACCAAACCACCCTGCAGAGCATACGCCCTCCACAAGCACCGCCCCATCACGCTCGACGCCACCATTGAAATCCCGACGCAGGACGAGGATCCCACAGAGCGCATGCAGATCTCGGGCTTCATCCATCTCATCAATCTTTACAAGCCGTTCGACCACACTTTCATGGGCCTCTGGAACAAGGTCCGCACCGGTTGCCTGCCGTCGTGGCTCGCCCAGATGCAGAACCAGCTCTCGGACGCGCTGCCCGGCTATCTCGAGGGCACCGAAGTGCAGGCCGTGGACCTGCGCACCTCGCAGCAATGGCTGCGCACAATGGTCTGGCAGCTCGCCATAAGCCACGGCTTCATCTCTTCCATGTCGGCGGACAGCACGATGAGCTTCAAGTACCCCATCGAAATCGCGCGGGATCTCATCACCATGTCGAGCCAGTTTTCGCAGCAGGCGATGGAGGTGCACGGAGTTGGCCTGGTGAGTGTCTGAAACAGGCGTGCCGCGACGAGCAAAACCCAAAAAAGTGCAGGCTGCTAACATGGACATTTTTGCCCTGCAGATCGAGAAGCTCTTCGACGTGGCATGCACGCTGACCGACGTCATGGCTTGCGTGCCGATGGAGCAACACTCGTTTGAGCTTGGCCCGCGCGATTACCTCGGCCGCTTCCTGAACCTCATTTCGACCCTCCGCGGCGGCCAGTCGCGCTATCTCGCCCTGCTTCTTCAGAAGATCAACGAAGTGCTACCCAACATGGCGGTGCCCATGCCACGTGGTCTGAGCGCGACATCGACGCCTGCCAACGCACGTCTCGAGGAGCTGTACGAAAGTCCGGCTTCAGCGTCAGCACAGGGGTCACACGTGGGATCACACGAGCCGACGCCGTTCGAATCCCCGCCACCGATGAGCATGCCGGTGCCAGTCAGACAGGCCAGCCACGGAAACATGCCCTACCCTGACATGCAGGTCTCACCGCCGTTAGTGCCGCAGAGCCAAGGCTTCCCGACATTTTCGACGGCCATGGGGTTTGCGCAGAGCACGACGACAGCACCGCCGCAGGGTGCATACCAGGCGCACCCGCAGCACGGCGGCTTCCCCGGCTGACGAACCACAATCGACGCGCGAGTCAAGATTACACGAGGTGTGCGAGGACGGAATTCAAGCCTTGCACTATCCTGTCTTGGTTTCCTTTTCCATTGTGATGAGCGGCCAGGGTTAGGCGGCCTTGCCGCGAATCATACGGGGAAGCCTCCGCCGCCGCAACAACGAGATTGCCCGAACTCGAGCGTTGGGCAAGGAGCCCCAGCAAGTGGCCAGCGTCCCGATCTGGACCTCCGTGAGCACAGCATCGCGACCGCGGTTCGAGGGGAATTTGCCACGCCGCTGTATGCATCGTCTTCCCCTTCGTTGTGTCTCTATTAGTTGCTTTTTGCACTTGTTGCTTTCCGCAAGCGTGGCGTTGGCTTGGAGTGCGGTTTCATGGAAAAAGGGTTACGGATAGCGAATCAGGGTTCTTCTTCCCGCGGCGACGGTACGCCGTTTCGCTTAGGTTTTCATCTCGTTGACGTTAGCGCCGCATCATGGGATTTTAGGGTACCGTATTTTTCAGGCATGTCAAGACGGGTCGGATGGTGGGAAAGTGTGTCGGGCATCGGGGAGAAAAAAAAAAGGGCTATATGGATCGGAGAAGGATGTTCTTGGGATGTTGGGATGTGCACGTTAATGGAGCGCATGTCAAGGAATCTTCATCTACCGGACAGCACACAAAAAC